ACTTGTTGTGGAAAAGTTCAAGCTTTTCAACCCATCCACCTAAAAATGTAAGAATGGGACAATCCCATTCTCTAAAGTATACAAGGAACACAACAAAATAGAGGAAAACAAAATCAGTGAGGAAAGGAAAAGAGGCAGTGTCCTTCAGGGATAATTTTTAAGAAGCACTGTAAAGCAAGAGTTAGAAGAGACAGGTGCACGGATATTTCACAAATGAAGCCAGTAAAAGTGCATATACAAGAAGAGGAGGCCATTTGGAAGGAAAATCACTTGCCAGGAGTAGACCTCAATCAAAGAAAAGACCTACAGAAATTCATACGCAATCTTTAAAAGGAGAAAGATAAAACTTAAGTTTATTTTGTATTGCTGCCCTCATGTGCAGCCAAAACCTTTAATTTAAGATTTCTACCACTTGCACAAGACTAGCAAAATACAGAGGCAACAGGAAAAAACTATCTCAGCCCAAACCCCACCTAAATGACGCACTAAAACAAAGTTATTACGTCCCCCAGTAACACACTCCCTTTTCAACATCTTTGCCCATCCCATAGGAGTCAGAGGAATGGGGAGTACACAGCTCCAAAATCGGCTTCACAGGTTGGTATAGGAGGAGCCTGCACCCTGCCACCCTCACTGGCACTGCAGCTCCTGGGCACTGCCGGCACTGCCTGCGGTGCCTTTGAAGGGCCACAGTGCATTACTGTGGAGCACTGCTAAAATTTTCTGACGGGATACAAATGACAGAGGCTGGCAAAATACTGCTCATAAACAGTTGGGACCTGTCTTCATGGAAAGGGAATTATAAAAATTAATTGTGGCACAAACAGGTACAAAAACATCGACTTCAATTATATTATATCAGTATGTACCAGTCATGAACTCTGTTGCTGTTGAAGTTTTGGAATCACGCTTGCCATTAGCTTAAATCAGTTTATGTTGATAAAGCTTTTGATTTATATCCACAGAACAGAGCAAGACCTAGGTATATCAGGTTTTGGCTACTCACATTAAAAAAAAAATATTCATGCATGACGTAATTCCATGTTTGTTCTTGAATTATCAATCAACATACAGAACCCTAACTTTTGCAGAACCCTAGATCAGATAGAAAAATGCAGCACTAAAAAATACCCCTATCCATCTCACATTAAGCCAAGAGAAATACCAGGAGAGAGTGAAGTTGTTGGATTTTGTTTGCTGTCACGAAAAAAGTGAAGAGTGAAGTTCCTGTCTCTACTCACTGTACTTTATTGCTTCCCTTCAAGGATACTTACCCCAACAGTCACTATTCAAGTCATCAAATTGGAATTTAGTGAAGTAGTTAGTTTAGAGAAAGTACAGGTGGCTCATGCAACCATTAAAAGAAATAGCTGGGCCATTATTTCCTTTGTTTTTCCACTCTTCCCTAAAACTCAGTTGGTGCAATCCTCAGCTTAAAAGTCAGCTTAGCTCCGTCAGTGCTAAAAGTCTGACTCTCCCCTTCCTTTAAATGGGTAATTTAACAGGGAGAAAACAATTGCTAAACATCTGGTAGGTGATGTGTCACAAATTCAATCCAGAAATAAGATATGGATCGCTATGTAGCACTGAGGGTAACTGAACTGGAAACAGCCAAGAGGGTGCTGGGGTGCTGCCCAAGCCTGCAGTCTTCAACACAAGACCAGACAGTTTTCTAAATGACGTGCTTTGGTTCAGCACTTCGGAGACAAGTTTGTGTACACCGCAAGGACAAAAATCCACATCCTTTGGGTAGGCGCACAAGCAAAAAAAAGAATACTGCTTTCCGTACCCTCAAGAGACTTGTAACATTTCTATCTACAGCAGACAATTACCGTAATCAATACAATCCAATCTCATGCTTTTAGACCTCCGCAGTTATCTGTGGGGAAGGAAGGATACTTCCCTCTCAGTGGATGCCTTTGGCTCAGGCAAGGGATTGGAAGGTAATGCTCCTCTCTGTGGGTACAGACACTGCAACCAGCCAACCTAAGTTAAAATACACTCTAGAATTTGTCGTCTGTTTATTCTGGGATTTATAGTTTTGCAATGTAAGCATATAAAACACATGCTGGTAAACAGACAAAATATAAAGTGTCAGCTATTCTTCTGTCAAAACAGACTCAATCAGAAATACAGAAGAAAAAGGTATCTTTGCTAAAGATTCCAGGGCAAAAGCTTTGTGCTGAAATCACGCTCTTCATATGCAGCTTACCTCCTTAGTTATTGAGCGGTGTAGTAAAACCTTGGGACAGAAAGACAAGGCACAATCAGTGTTTCACTCACTCACTGTGGACCCACCTCCCCAGCTTCCCAGGGAGTCTGGCATCAGTCATAGTGGGTACACACTAGGAAAGCAGGTTCTGAAGATGCAGAAGGCTTTACTTGAGGGTTTTCTCTATACTACTTCTATAAGGTCACAATAAATCTCATTACACAAATCGATTTAAAAATATGAGGTACTTTCCTGACAGATGCTGAGTGCTGAAAAGTTCGGCTATCAGTTGCTGCCCAATGTCTGAACTGTAAATCAAAAAGTTGATTGCCCTGAAAAAGTCTTGCTGTCTACAAATACAAACTCATATTCAGAATATATTTTCTCCATTTCCAACATGAATCTTATAACCTCTCAAGGCTTAATTATCTCTTCATCATGTGCTGATTACAGAAGTACTATTCCTTGCAACGCAAACCTTCAGAACACGATGTACCCCTGCAGCGTGGGCAGGGAGTAACAAGCCACGACTCAAGCTCTCAGGTGCTAGGGCACTCAACTCTTCCATCACTAGGAGGTGAATTTCCTGACACTTTGAATTTTTAAGAACTTTCAGACAACTTTAAACATTCCTCAATAAGAGTTTCCAAAAAATGAAAGCAAAATATGGGCAAGTCCAAAAATTTCACCCTTTCCAAGTTGTTTGCAAAGATGGCAGTGAGCATAAGGTCCGGAAGACGACAAAGCAGGCATTTGTGCAGGCCAGCAGGCTGCTGGGGCCACAGAGGACTTTCCTTCCTGCTATGTCTATATGAGGAGAGCCACATCTGCCGTTTTGCTTGGCACTTGATGGAAGAGCCAGGCTGCGTGCACGGCAGTGACTGCTGGACGCAGTACCCCATCCTTGTCATGTCATTCTCAAGGCAGCACCGGCAAGCCTGGATCTACGCTCCAGGTCACCCTTTTCTTCTTTCTCTTCTTTTTCTACAGACAGACTAGCGAATCCCAGGATCTTTGTTCTTGTGGCAGCAAAATTCAACTGTGCTACACAGCTGAGAAGCTTTGTATTGGTCTGAGGGCTGACCACCCTGCTATTTAAGTTACACGTTCACTGTAAAACAGCTTACACACACCAAGTACAGCACCCCACATCAAGAAAGACTCAAAGCCTCTTGCAAACCTTAGTCATGTAAAAATGAATCAATTAACTTGTCATTCCAGTGCAGCCACTTCAGGGGGTGAAAAGCTTTGTCACATTGTGTAGGTTTAAATAAAAGAAGAATTATTAGAAAGATGAAAGAGAAATATAGAAACTGGAACGCAGCAAGAAACAGGATTTATAACCGCCATGCACTAGCCAAACATGCCAGGCATCTTCAATGAATGCAGAGGAACAGGACTACAGTGTTATGACTCATCTGAGAACTGGCAGGTTTGTAAACTTCCTCGGAACTACTGCAATAATCCTGGGTAGGAGAGAAAATAAACATTTTGGAATATTTATACAAGAAAGACTACAAAGGCAAATGTCATTACCTAGCAAGCACAAAGAGGAAAGGGGGTGGGGAGAATTTTAGCTCACACAGCATAGGAGAACATCAGGTGTTATAAAATTATGAATTGGAATAGTTCTAAAAAAAAAAACAAAAGAGCATTACTGAATGTAATAATTTGAAGTGGGAGATCTGCGAGAAACAAATGCAGACGGTCTTGTACCTAAACATTTATGAGTCACCAAGAATAGCTACTGCAAAAAACCATTGTCTAAAGTGTTGCTGTACGCATTCAAAAATGTATGTGTAAAGAAAATTAGAGGAAAAGGTACAGAAAAGTTGTTTTAGAAAAGCTGAAAACACTTCCCTATAATTTTCCCCATCTTTATTATTGGCACATACTTTTCATTAAATTCCTATCATGAAAATTGAAAAGCAGGATTAGGAAAATGCTCCTTTATTAGTCATAGCTTCTTCCTCAACAACAGAAGTATAGCTCACTTGGAAAATGTTACTTTGCTTCCTTAACCAACTACATGATCCTTCAGCAATTTTGTTTGCTTGATGGAACAAGAGAAAAAAATCTAAGATGGCAATCTGCTCAGTAGTTCTGGAGACACAAAGAGTGGTCCA